TTTTCACTTTTCCCATTCTTAAAACAGCCTTCTTCCTAAGGTTAGGTCTTCAGCTAGCAGAGCGCTGGCCAGGTATGTCTGTCAGCTGTTTTCCTTAACCAGAGACTATCAGCTTTCCAATCCTCTCCTATCAGGTTGTCCAGCCAACAGCTAATGGACTGACTCCCCCATAAGAAGCCTTAATCCCCCCACTCTAAAAGTTGCCAGGAACCCAGAAACCCTCTCGTTTTCTACCAAATCTGCTCTGCCCTCCAAAATGTACAATACACTTCAGTGTCCTGTGTGCTGGCACATTTCCATTATCATATGGTTCCAAATATTTATAGTTGGGCTGTCCTATTGTTAGAGAGGACAGTGCAACAATCAAGAAGTCAACAGCGATGCACTCCAAGTGTACGTGCCTCCCACTCAGGCTGCATATTCCAGTTGCGTCAGAGGGCCTGGCCCCATCAGCTCTAACCTGCATTCAGTTAGATACAGAGCACATCAAGGGGCATGATTCAGGCAGGCAGGAACAAGCTTCAACCCACTGTGCCTGAGACACCCGGCTAAGTGTTTTCCTATCCAAATCCTCAGAAAATAACCTGCAAGGTGGCTATTACAGCCCCCATTCTCACAAGTCAGGAAACAAGAGGCTGCCTGAAATTGAAGTGCCTTAGGAAGCCGCTTCAGAAGGATCTGAGGCCCCACAGGTAGGAAGCAGTAGGACCATATTTCAAATCCTAAAGGCAAGTAAATGATGTGGGATTTCAAGTCCAAAAGACTTGGGCTCAAATTCATATTGTGTGGGGTGCCTGGGTGGCTCAGTCCGTTAAGCGTCCAACTTTAGCTCAGGGCATGATCTCACGGTCCGTGGGTTCAAGCCCCGTGTCGGGCTCTGTGCCGACAGCTCGGAGCCTGGAGCCTGCTTTGGATTCTGTGTCTCCCTCTCTCTCTGCCCCTCCCCTGCTCATGCTCTGTCTCTGTCTCAAAAATAAATAAAAACACTAAAAAAAAATAAAAATAAAAAAAAATTCATATTGTGTGAGCATATGGAAGTGGTTTCCTCATCTAAAAATGGAGATGCTACTACCTAACTCATAAGATTTTGGGGAGGATTACGTAAGACAATGTTTGTAAAGCACTGAGCACTATGTCTGACCCACAGCAAGCCCTCAATAAATAAAAGGCACCTCTAGCTTACTCACAACTAATCGAGGTTTCTGATTCCAACTCTGAGTCTCTCCCTACACCACAGAGAAACCATCAGCTACAGCCAAATGCTTTACCTGAGGGATGAAGCACCAAAGCAAGGAGGAGATACACAGGACCAAAGAGCCTAAGAGGGAGCTGGCTTGGTCTGCATTTGGAAAGGACTGTGTTGCAGGGGTGCTCCATGGTTT